TCACCGCTCACTACAGCAAGCCTCTCTTCTTCCAGCTGTAACCATGAAATTAATATCAGTCAGTATTTTACTAACACCACTCTCTATATTATTGCTGAAGAGAAAATGATGTACTGTGAAATACTTTATTTTAGCTAGAATAAATTTTCGCTGAAAAGGCATTTTGGGTGTCTTGTATGGAATTTATTTTCACTGATTTTTGATGAGTTGAATGTGAAATATAGTTAAAAAAAGTATATTCGCTGGATTTTATTTTCACGGAATCATCCCGTCAGCAAAAATAGCAAAAATAAATTCCAAGCGAAAGTATTCTATAGTAAACCAAATGCTGAGTCACATTGTGACGTACACAATGTGTGTAAAAAATACACTTTACATGAAACTTGAACACATGATCAACATGAGACGATCAAATTTACATATCAAAATTTTGTTTATGTGTAAAAATGATACAGAACTAAAAAGAACAGTTACCTGCATATTCCTATGCAAATAAGTCATATTTTTTCCCTTGGGGGGGGGGGGATCACTCGTTAATATGTCACTTAAAAGACCTGCACTGAAGCATGAACGTGGGTGACATGTTTACAAAATGAAAAAATCGACACATGATATTCAGGCAGACAGAAATACACGAATAAAAGCATTATTGTTGGTATTAAAGGCAGCGAAATGAACCAGACATCTCACGCAATTACTAGTATGGAAACTCGATGTGTTAAGAAATTAATTGCAATAGTTTAATTACCCTCGGTATTATATGAAATTTATTACCATGCTGCCAAGGCAACAAACGTTATATTTTTTAGACTTGAAATCCCCAGAAAAAAACCTTCAGACTAAAGTTGACTTTAAAAATAAAATACAATGATAACTGCATAGCAACCTACAAAGTTTGCCTTAGCAACACAGGAAATTTAATTTGCTATACATATCATGGATTGCCATTCATGAACACTAGTTGTGACAGATCAATGTCTAATTTCTGGCTTTCTTTGTACTACGATATATTGAAGTAAATTGAGAAATAATGGTGCACACAATAGATGTAGTGTAAATTCAATACAATAGTTGATGTTCTTTAGAAAAGAGGAAAAACGACTTAAAATGTAATGAAATTTCAATTTAGACTCTGCAGACAATGTAATATATGTCTCGCACATAATTTTTTCACATTTACACTTTATCCTTTATGAAGAACAATTAGTGAACAAAGTAGAAATTTGAATAGAAAACATTTTTTACAATAAATGAAGCAAGATTAAGTATGAAACTTAAAATATTAATACAGTGGCAGAGATGATTTGATACCAGAAAAGACAAATAGAATAGAAATCATTCATATTATAAAGTACAAGAAAATTAAATCTTGCGTTAAATTAGACCAAAATTTGAATTCTGGTAAAAACAAAATTAGTTTATGTATAACATCTTAATTCTTAAAAAAAAAACCTCAATATTTAAAAACAAAATCTGAAGAATATAATGTGACAATTTGTTACATTAAAACTAAGCAATTGTTTATTCAAAGTGCTGTACTGTAAGTCCATTAGATTAATTTGTCCTGCTTCAGTAAATGTGCACACATAAATCTTCATTTTAAAAACTGTCAATAAATTGCATGTTGGATGAATAGAGCTAATTAAGACTAATAGCCTTATGAATAAATGTTGTACATTGTGCTATGCTAAACTCTGAATGTGTCAAACTTGTAAAACTTAATTCCTTCAGGTATTTTAATTCAGTTAACGTTACTATGGTTACATATCGTTTCTTTTCATGGCAGCAAAGATGGAAGGAAATATTCATAGAAAACACCTGGTATTTGCAATAATACCCGGTAAGTTGCAACCATGATGTGGCGTATACATTGTGTTGAGTTTTGTTAATTTTTAATAGAAATGAAATGAATTTGTTACAAAAAAAATATGTAACTTATTTTTAGTAGAAAAATTAATTTTCTTCAGAAAAAATCAATTCCAGCTCTCAGATATTGTAAATCATCCACAACTTTGGCATACATGCATATTAATTGATTGATTGATTGATTGCAAGACCATCAAATTTTCACTGCTAGAAACAGAATTTTGATTTTTGTTGAATATCATAAAGTAATATTTTCACTTTAACCTACTGAACCACGTTTTATTGCTTGAATATTTTACAACTACACATTTTATCAATAATATACCTGTACCCTGGGTGCTTTCAAAGAAATATAATGAATCACAGTTCATAGGGAGTTTTCCACCCTGGGGGAGTCTTTTACAATGTACCACTAAACACAGGCACATTTATCAATATAAGATCACAATACTGTAGTACTTTTGCTGGATTGAGAAACCCCGAAAGGGAAGCTTTTATATATTATACGTAAATGTTCTACAAGTCACTATACAAACAACAAGGTTTTATCGAGACTGTCTTTGTGCAGATGTGGAATGTCTCGTGCTTTTTATAGTGCTTACAATTGCAAGCTGTATTACAAGGTATTACATAGAGTCTGGGCAACTACAGGTGGTGCACACATGTTAAAATCATCACGCACATTTTCATTGATCAACTTGCTACATTTCTGTGACGAATTTGCATATTTTGTAAGATTAAAGGTAATTTGGTAATTTTGCAAACATTTAATGTAACAATAAAAATAATTGAAATATCAATAACAGCTATGGATTATTCAAAAGTTCAAGTACATATATCATTGCAGCGGACAAAAATGCCATGCTAAAAATGCCTGGAAAGAACACTAAATAATATAATGTAACACATTTATAAAAGCACAGCTGGAACACTCTTGTGATGGCAAGTTAGAGTTTTTAAAAATCATGAACTGGTTTTACCATTTGGGATCTCCAATATGTATATGATCAGTATGGATGGAAACAATGGTTGCCATGGTTATAAGGCTACCTAGTATAGTGTATTTGACAATACAAATTGAAATATGATATACATGTACCGAATGAGTTGAATTTTCTACCTGATCTCCATCTATTGAAGGCCCCCTAGTCAGTTACTTAAATCTCCATCTATTGAAGGCCCCTTGTCAGTTACTTAGAACTCCATCTATTGAAGGCCCCCTAGTCAGTTACTTAAATCTCCATCTATTGAAGGCCCCCTAGTCGGCTTTAGAAGTGCACATACATCAAAAATTGCATTTATTGTATGCTAAAGGGTGGTGTTCGTCACACCACGTTGTGTTCAATATGGGACCCATAGCAACGTATACAACACAGTGTAAATTACATTGTTTGTTTACATGAAATTTGATCATCGACCTTTAATACAAGACTTATTTTGACTATGAACACACCCCTGTCATTTACGTAATTGTATGCACTACTAATGGAGCAACCAAAATCCAAATATCTCTAATAATATAATTTTTACACATCACAAGCTGCAAACATTTATTTTTTGTTGAAAATGGTTACACTGAGAACACCTGTAATGCTTCATAAATATTGAAATAAATCAAAAATTGACAAAAATGCTTCTAAATATAAATATATAAAAAATACTACTTTGTTTTTAAATATTCAGAAAAAAAAGACAAATTGTATCTCAGATGTTGTGGACATTTCTAGTTCATTATCCCAACAGCCATCTGTGTAAATACTGTTGCCAAGCAGTTCAAACTTCACCAGGGACAACTGATTTGACAATATGTGAATTATATTTCCAGATAGGTATGTAGTGAGATATAGTTAATTAAAGTATGAATAAATATCTTTTTTTTCCCCTTTAACTTGCAGTATTGACAAATATTAAATTTGTTGGGGTTATACAAATTTAGTTAAAGTATTATATCATGCAGCACATGTGTTTGAGATTTGTGTAAAGAATGTATTTTTTATGTAACATGGGACCCATACTGAACACAATACAGAGCACTGTTGAGTTTAATTAGCTGGTACACTATTTGTTCAATAAATAATAGTCTTCGATTGAAATCAAATGTTGAACATTTTCGGAAATTTACAGAATGGTTAAATTTACATTGCATATTGAGATAATATGTACACTATTGTCACCATGACAACAAGATACACACCAAGGGAATACAGAAGCATTAGTAATATCAATGTCTACTTCAAGCTATGGACAGAAGGTATTGCATGTAAATAAATAATACCGATAGAAATTTATTTTGGTTTATTCACTGTTTTTTACACTGAGGTTTGAAACTCTGACATTTAGTTTTCTACTAGCAATCTACATTTATTATGACTCGCTGACCAGAAATATGTCGTCCTATTAATCCAACAATTGTTCAGATTTTTTCAAGCATTAACTTATTTTTAATCGCAGTTCATGAAAAAAGCTACGTTGTTGTGCATATTATAATTTTTTTGTTATCTCCATGATAACCATATCATTTGAAGAATGTGCTTGAATTGCGAGTGAATTTTATCCCTCAAGGGGATAAGCTAAGTGAAAAATATCAGTGATATAAATGTATATATAAATATTTATACTGTAAAACACTTTGATAAAAACAAAAGTGCCAATTTATAAAATTTTGTACAATGCCTGAATTTTTTTATCACTAACCAAACCATTGATATATACTGTAAAACACATAATTACAAGCTACATGAATCCTAATTTAGCTAAAGTGCAATCAATCTCATCAAGTATATTATATTTAACAACATAATGCATAAGCGAAATTATGGATTAGCTAAAAGACCTGTTTTTTAGTTAGTTCCATAATAATCTATACTATAATTAATTTTGTATCATAATTCTTCTCTCTACAGAACAATGCTCAAAGAAATTATTTACATATGACATATGTGTTAGTTGGTTACTTTGTCTTGTTTGGTTTTTTCAAATAAAAAATTCAAGCATACTGTAGTGGTCGAAGTATTTAAAAGTTTTTTTGTTTTGTTTTTCATCACTATACACCTAATATTTATCATAAAGTGTATTTGCTTCTAAATGCAAAGTTTGTTCTCCAAAATTTTTAAATGGTATATAATTTAAAAAACATCAGTAAATTTTTATGTATTTTCTATTATTATACCCAAAGAACAGCATTTCTCAATGACTTAATTTATTTTGCGAAAGGTGACAATATTAGGACTTGGTCATATTGATCCAAGTTAAAGCAAGGGGAGTCGTCACCTGCCCATGCGTCAGATGGCCATAGTGTGTCATTGTTTATAATCAAGCGTCTACCCATGAGCCTTTGCATTTTTAGTGTGTGTTGTTATTGTCGCTTGAGACTCAATACCTGCGCATGCACAGGTAACGACACTCCCACTTTAAAGGTAAATGTGAAAAATAAATTGGCAAAAATTTTTTCATAAATTATTCATGAAAGGGTAACCTTAATTGAGGTACTCAAACACCAAACACGCGAGAACAACACTCCCTTAGTTTAAACTACCACCAGTTCTGTAATTGATAGCCATATTTGTCATGGTCTAGTTGAGCCGCAAGCACTGAGTCACACCCTAACAATGAAAGACACAGGAAAATGTTCTGACACCAGGCACCCAAAGATCGTCAATCTTGAGATCTACACAATACGACAATCACAGCAAAACAAATACACATTTACAATGTGAATAACCTTTATAGCTTAATTTGGATCAAATTAACATCTGATGAAAACAGAAAATTGACATGTAATAAAGTAAGGTACTTTTCATTTATTTGTGAAGATTTGAATGGAACATAAAAACCCTCCATTGAATACACTGTTCTGTAAAATAATTTATTATAGCTGGAATTAATTTTCGCTGAAAATACTGTTTTGGGTGTTTTGTATGGAATTTATTTTTACTGATTTTTGATGTGTTGTATGTAAAATAGGAGAAAAAATGTATATTCGCTGGATTTTATTTTCACTGAATCATTTCTTCAGCGAAAATAAAGTATTCTACAGTAAACTGCTAAATCGTAGCCATTCAAAATGTTTGTGATTTGATGAATTAGAAAAATTTTTTTTTTTTTGCAAAAATCACCTCCTCTTCCAGAATTTAAGAAATATGTATGCAAGATATATAATGGTCACATTAAAGAAAAATCACAAAGCAAAAATAGCTCTAGTGATGTATAGGACAGATTTATGAACAATCAAGTGATAAAGTCCCAGAAATACACAGAACATACGGTAATACTGTAAATTACTTTATTTTAGCTGAAATTAATTTTCGCTGAAAAGACTTTTTGGGCATTTTGTATAGAATTTATTTTCACTGATTTTTCATGAGTTGAATGTGAAATATAGGAAAAAAAGTATATTCGCTGGATTTTATTTTCACCAAAGCATCCCTTCAGCAAAAATAGCGAAAATAAATTCCAAGCGAAAATAAATTCTACATTACTAGAGATGTACCTACTAGAAATATCTCCATTGGTTACGGTAAACACTATTCTGACATGGATAATTGCCAAGCACAAACAATAATACTTTAAGTGATAAGTACATGCATTCCCAATACACCAAGTTGAAAAGTTTAGAGGCAAATCTAAAAGTTTACACTACACCTTGTGGCACTCTACCCATAATCTTAGACTGTAATGCAATCATAATACCATGGAGGCTACAATATCACTATCGACAAGAACCCTTGTACACAGTTACAAGTCAGGTAGATTTAAAACTGGTTTAACTTTAGATGCTGTTTGCTGAAAGCCACTTCTAATCCTTCCATTGTGAAATGCATGTTTTATTTTAAGTCATGGCTGTAGGGGAGATGTTTGTGAATGGTTTATGTAATCTGATTCACACGATTTACAAACTCAGTTGGTAAACCTGAGGTTAGAATTCTTTGTATGTTATAACTGCAGACACTGATTTATCTACCAATCAGAGCAATGTGGAATATGTAATTTAGTAAAATACACACTTTTATAGCTCCTTGTTTTGATTTGAATAAAATGAAATTATAATTATTTATCAGCGATTTAAATAAAAGAAAATTGGGGTACACCTGGAATAGGTGATTTTCCGTACAATTGCGAGATCTCGCGAGATGCATGAAAGATGCGCGTCGAATGTCTGCCGCAAAAAACGAACGATTTGATTTTGAACTAGAATTTCTTTATTTCGTAGCTTACATTGACCGACCGATCTTCGACAGAGGAATTTTGCTTCCGAATACCCTTACTTAATCGAAATTGCCTATCATGAAATGTGGACAGCACATTATTAAGCATGGAAATGTCCCCGAAATACTTTCGCGTTTGTCGAATCCCACGCGATGTTTGACACGACTACGATGCTATGACCTTTGTTTGTCCTGTTTTTACGTTCGATTTCACGCATAACGCGTGATTCTCGCAGTGAACAGAAAATGGTCTATTGATAATTTATAATAATTATAAAATCCAGAAAAAGAAGTTACCCCGGTACATTTCTGATTATTAAAATGGGCGTGCAATACAATGTTATTTGTCAATATATTTTTGGAAATTTTCTAGAATATTATTGATTATGTCAGCTTAGGTGGAGTATAAAGATGTAGATGATTCACCAGACTTGTGGATGATTATCTTGAAACCCAGTCTTCTCTGACTACAACAATGGCAGATCCAGAGGGGGGCCAGGGGGGCCATGGCCCCTTCCAAATGCATGACGATTCATATAATCTGGATTACGCATAGCTTCTCTGCGATTTACGCTCCGTATATCTTAAGCGAAGCTTGGATCCCCCCCCCCCCCAATACATTTTGCTGGATTGCCACTGGACTACAACAATTTGCAATTTATTAATATTCAAACTAATTTTGCGTACATGTGTAAATGTTGCTATTTAATTGAGTTTAATAAAATTTTTATTTAAGTTGCATTCAAATATTGCAATTTAATTTAAAATGATAGGATTGCGGTAGCCAGAATAAAAAACTTGCCACACTAATTGCACCATGTGGTGTTCAATATAGGTTCCATGCAACATATAAAGCACTCATACAATAAAGTCAGAAGTGAGCTGTGTGAGAACTGTGGTGCTTTAATTAAACATTTCAAAAGTCTCTGTTGGTTTTTCTGTACCACTATGTTGAACAACATACATGTATAAGTGTATACAAATACTTACTTGTAATTTTTTGAGTTTTAAATGAAGATGAACATAGGTTTTTGGTGCTTTTGTGTCAACCATTGACTGGGCTTCTTTCACCTGTAAAAAAAACACACATTGGTGAGTATGATAATCAGGTGATATTGACAGTCATGAAACTGATAACAACAACTTCTAAGCTAACTTTATTTATTAGTAAAGATAAGCAAAAAATTCAATGCCTGGCAACAAGCATTACTACCATAGTATTTGCATCACTTGGATAACAACACAAATATAAACAAATAAGATATTTTTCCCATCACAGTATTAGTTGCAATTTAATTCCGGCATATTGATTGAAACATTAATGGGATGTGTAAATATTCAATCTCGTTTGTTCGTTGTTTCAGAACAGAAAAATTAATCTTTGCATTTTATATTAAATAGGGCACACATTTTAGTATCTTTACTATATATTTTCTTTTCCGCCAATTTTTCTTGTTCGCTTCCTGAATTTTCCAGTCTGCTGTTTACAAATGACAATTTTGCGGCAGACGGTAAATACCAATTGCCGCCGACCATTACTCTTCTAACTGGCCGCCTGGAAACAATGTAGCGTTTAGATTGAACAATTGAGCTATGGCGGAGTTATAGTGGCCTAAATTAAGATACAATGTGAACGTTTATCGAGCTACGAAGCCATGCTCACGTTATCGTTACTAGTACTAAACAGGAAGATGTCATAACGACAAGCGCTTATTTATTCCGCCGCCATTACGGTCAAACGTGGCCTTCAAAATACAAGTAAGTTCGGATGAAATTCGCGATAATTTCTTTACACATAAGGTAAGTATACACGACTTCAACACAAATAACGGACACAAAACGAGGGAAAGACGAGTTCGGACAGTGTTAACTGATTTCAACTTTCAACAGACTTCTCGTCGAGTATGCAAGTCCAAAAGTTCGCCAAACGACAAACTAAAAAACCCGCAGGACCACACGTACCTTTACTCGATGTTCATCGTAATATTTGCGGTCCCATCTCTGCTGTAATATCCTGCTCTGGCACGGTAAGATCGACTGGTAAGACCGATGCATTGCGAGGTTGTGAAATGGGGATAAAAATGCTGCGAAAGTTGTAAATTTTCGACTACCTTCACGGCTGTCTACTGTTGATATCGTTGTCAATTACAGCTGAAAGCGTTTAGCTGGTGGTGACCCCTATTTTGTTTGATCACGTGAACGTGGGGTAGCCATGACGATCTTGGGGCTTTGGTTGATACCATTTTACAATAGGTATAGAATATTAAAACGTTAAGATAAGACGAGACGTGCAGCATGTATTCATGTAGAGGCATCTTGGAAAATTGCAATTATAACACCAAAATATACGAATCATCATATTTCGTTTAACTAGAATGTTATGTACAAATGACATTCTTGAAGATTACCGAAACTAACACCCCCACCCCCATGATTGAATAGCCAATTCTCCCGCGGTTGCTACTGCCCAATAATTATTGACACACAAAAAAGTAAATCGTGATGGTGAGATGCATGTGGACGAACATTTTTAACTTTGAACTGCAGTTACCCGATAATAGCGCAGACACTATGGAGGTGCTTTATTATGCCATTTTCTTCTGGGGCACACATAGGTTTGTGAAATCTATGTTAGCCCTGTGAATGGTCGTTTTCATTGGGGTCTTGTCGACACTGACGTAAATACGACCCTTGAAAAAAGCCATATACACAAGGCTAACATAGGTTTCATTGAATCATGTCACAATGCCAACTTGTAGTATATTAAAATTAGACCGGCCTTGCTCCAATTCCTTTGACTTTCTAATCACCCTTTACAGACCCCACAGCGAACAACAACAATGCAGGTGCACCCAGAAGGAAAACAGTTATTATTCCGTGTAATCACTTATTTGTTAATTTGGAAAGCAATTGATATATTACAAATACATTAGAGATCAAAAAATGGGAATAATATTACATGTATTTTCAGTTTATTACGTATGGAATATTTAAATTTTGTAGGTTTGTTTGATAGGTAAATTGTTACCTATGACGACTGCAATAAATGACAGTCAATTGTGTTTTAGAGTGCTTTTGCTGCGAGACCCATTATCAAACTTAATATTTGTATGAATTAATAATGAATTGATCCACACCCAAATCACATTCACATCAACAGACATCCACCTCTAATGTTGAATACAAATTTACAAGCAGATAAATACCAGGAGTGTAAACAGGGATTCACCATTTGCAAATGGGTGATAATGCTGTACTACG